CATAAAACGATACCGTATGACCAAACATCGCTCTTGCTTGTATACACGCCGTCTAATATAGACTCTGGTGCCATCCAACGTACAGGTAAACGCCCCTGAAAAACATCAATTAGATCTCCTTTTTCTATTGACCAACATTAATTAAGTTATGCAATATCAGAAGCAAAGTAGTAATGTTGCTTACCTGAGTCCTTCTCTCATATTCACGTTGATCCAAGACATCAGTTGCCAATCCAAATCCAGACAATTTGCATACTAGCTTGTCATTCATTAATACATTGCGTGCAGCCAAATCTCGATGAACACACTAGATGCGACAAAAATGAGATATTAAGAGCCAAAATATAATAATATATAAACAAATATGATTACAAATCCTAATCACTATTGTATTTAAACTATTTAAACTTACACCTTTTTCTTCAATGAATTCCATTGCAAGAGATATCTGATGTGAAAAACCAACACAATTATGTTGATATAATGAGGACACACGTTCTCCTAGATTGGCATATGTATTTTCTATATTTGTTTTTCGTTCACGAAGATAAGTTTGGAGGTTACCAAAAACCAAATATTCCAGGACAATGAATATAGGACCTGGTAGTAGAATAAAATGACATAAATGTTTACATCAAAATACATGTTGTTAGATGGAAAAAATATTAGGAAAATAACATATGGTGTGAATTATTAACATATACAGCAATAGAAAGGGAAAGTGTATACCGTCGTGTGTACAACATCCAATCAACGTCACAACGTGTTTATGTGATGTTATTGATTTAAGCAACTCCAACTCCCTAAGTAGTGAATTATAATACTCATCAGTAAGCCCATCTGCAATATAATGGAAACATTATTTTAACAACATTCATCATACTATTGAAACAATAACCTTTTCCGTATTTCAAAGTTTTATAAAATAACACTCAGATAGCTGGAAAAGTGTTCAAACGAAAAAAAAATAATTTCCTGTTATTTGCCAAATATATAACACATTGCCCTGTGTGTGTTCAGTTGATACCATGTTTAGGCTCCATATGACATGCAATATAAAATACAAAAGTTATAAAACTGTTTATGTCCTACAACTTCTGTAGTATATATGTAGTATATACATTGGCAGAGTATACTTAATGTCATATAGTACTTACTATTTAACAGTTTTACAGCTACAGTTAAGTGTCCATTTACTGATTGGTTACTCGTTGTCGTCGCTTTTACTACTTTTCCAAATGACCCTACTGCAATGGTTTTTCCAAGACGAATAGCGTCTCAAGGAATTTCCCATGTTACCTCACCATGTTTCATGTACACGTGATCGTGATTCACAGTCATGCGCAGATCCTCATACTCAGTAGAATGCGTAGGATTCTGAAAATCAGGGTAATGTTTGGAAAATGAGATGTATGAGGCAATATTTGATATCACCACAGTGTGACGCAAGAGAGGGCAGTTCGAAACCCATATCATTACAATGTTACGTCACATATTGCCGAACTTTCTTTCAGTGTACGCGTCACCCGAACGTTCCGGAGCCTTCGGGTTTATATACGGCTTGATAACAACGGGTTGTTTAGTATAATTGATTCACTTTCCAACGTTCACGTGTGTATCTTCGGAACTATTTAGTTCTTCCAAAATATTGTTGAATTTGAGCTAATAACACAGCGTAGAGAAGGCGTTCATGTGAAATACAACACTGCAACGCCAACAAAATTTGAGGCACGCGCAATGATATATTTCTATGCTGTGTTATTTTAGCAATTGTTCCACTGTCAAAACTCAACCGTTTTACTATGTCGTATGTCACTTATGATTACCACCAGATTCATAAGAAACTCTCGCGATCAACCTAAGGGAAATATCGTGGATTAATATATCATTAAACACTTTAACAAATGAAACTGCACTTGTTGATCAGTCATCATCCTATGTTGAAAATAATCTAGTGAGAAACAATATTTAATGATGACATTGAATAACAATGGAAACAGACATAATAATAACTCTAAGCATAGTCACCTCTGTCTGTGCATTTCGCCGCAAATGTCCTATATACCAATAATATTATGATACAAGCAAATAGTAGAATTATTACAACAATCCATCCATGTGTATTACTATCTTCTGATGGATCTGAAATAACATTGTGTTGATAACTCATGTTTAATTCTAATTCGGCTGATTATTGTAATCGAATTATTTGTAACTGATTGTTTTGAACAAAAGAAGATGGCTTAATATGTTTCTATTACATAGCATTTTAACTACGCAACTTACATGGGAGTACGTTTAATACTACCTCACAACTCGTACTTTTGCCAATAGTACCATCGTAGAAACGTGTTGTTGCATAACATGTATAAGTTCCACTGTGTTCTTCACTAATTGATGTAATGATATATAGTAGATGTAAGTCATATTCTACTTTTGCCACGACATTGTCATTGCCATTGTCATCTGTGTGGTTTATATACATTTCGTAAGGACGAGGGTTCGCGTCAGTTGTTGCACAGAGTAATACGACGTCACTTCCTTCATAAACATTAGATGATCCAAAAAGTGAAATAGTGGCCGGATCTATTAGGGAGTAAAATAGTATAAAATAACAAACATCGTACTTATTACCATTACATTTGTGAGTATGCTAGCTGCAGCACAGGGTTGTACAGGAATATCACACTAATCGTGTGTACAATACATTATGATGTATAATAATAACTAATAAAATCTACGTACACTGTACATTAATATGCGTAGAATCATTTTCTGATGCGGTAGATTCATCCCAAAATACAGTTTCAGCAAAACAGGTGTAGTGCCACTGTCAGTTCGTGATATGTTTTCTAGTTCAAGTGTTGATCCAAGAGAAGTAGAGCCATCTGGGTGTATCCATATTATTTCCGCAACAGGATTTGAATCAACTAAACATTCAGCAATGTACATGTCTCCCTCAAGTACTGTTACATCAGTTTGGTTTGCTATTTTAACATTCGGCGAATCTGAAATAAAACTCATTATGCTGACATGAAACGGATGTGAACACGTCGTCAAAGTAGTGCAATTAAAAATATTTAGTTTTATTATTGTCTCCTCCTGTAATTGAACGTGATAATGTTGTTGTTCTACTAATATTTTGTCAATATTGATTTAACAAATCAATCATTGAACACAAAGCTCATAATACTAGGCTTTATCTGTGTGAATAAATATATTCTGAGTGTTGTTAGTTTCAAATTTCGCATGTTGATCTATTCACTGTAAGTAAGCATTCACTAACAATAAGTTAAATTTTGAAA